AGGAAGTTGTTTAACCTTTCTGGGCCTTATTTTCTTTACTGCAGTGGGGGTCACTGGTACATTTAGATAATAGTGAGCAATACATATGTGAATACACACAGTTTAGAACTGTCTGTTGTTGTTGTTGTTGTTGTTGTTGCATGCCATTGAGTTGCCTGTGACTTATAGTGACCCAATGTACAATATCTCGGAAGCCTGTTCTATCCTGAGACAGTCTCACTGACTCCGACACACCTAACTACCATTACCCCAGTTACTGTATTCATTACCCCAGTTACTGTATTCATTACCCCAGTTACTGTATTCATTACCCCAGTTACTGTGTCAATCCAATCTCATCTGGGGTCTTTCTCTCCTGCACTCAATAAATGTTAGCTATCATGATTGCCCTAGGGGCAAGCTATAGCTTGTTGTATGGTGGCCTGCTAACCAAAAGGTTGATGGTTTGATTCTACCAGTGTCTCTGAGGGAGAGAAATGGGCAGTCACTTTCTATAAAGATTTACAACCTTAGAAAACTGAAGGAGGGTTGCTATGCGTCAGAACCGACTCAACAGCCATGGGCTTGGCTTTAGCTGGTTGTTGTGGTTGATGTTGTGATTATTAGTTATTAGTTTAACGGGCTGGAAACCCCAGCGCTATACAGGTCAAGTCACCATCAGTGGCTTCCTGCCTGCAACATCACCAAATCCCAATGTCCTGACTGTTACTATTTTCAGATGGAGCCAAGGGTTAACTTTATGCCTAGAAGCCACAGGCACGGTGAATGTGAAACTGGGCCCACAGAGTAAAAGGACTTCCATCATCCCCAGAGCATCTCGCATGCCTGCACGTTCTGGGTTGGCAGCCAGCTGCCAGAGCAGGTGGCTAAGCTGACTTCCACCTCCCTGAAAACCACCATCCTCTAGAAGATGTGGACTGGGTGGCCCGGGCTCTGTGTGGTTTGGGCCCTGGGAGGAAGTGGGATTCCATCCAGCCTGGAGCCAGCCTTGGGACCAAGTAAACTCTCCTTAAAAACCTGGCCTCCCTTGGGTTTGAGCCAGAGACTCTGTGCGGTCCTGTCTGGTTTATTTTAAAAAAGTAGATCACCAGGTCCATCTTCCAAGAGTCTATTGGGTGGACTCAAGCATCCAACCTTTCATTCTGCAGTGGAACATGTTAACCGTGTGACCACAGTGACTCCAATAGGGAAGTAGCTCACTGAACTGTGCCACAGTCACACCACGTAACACAGCACCACCACTTTGAAGTCTAGAGTGACACCCTTTCACGTCTGAATTACAGACTTGAGGAAAGAAAGGCTCAAAGGCTTCTTTTCTAAAAAGCTTTCATTTTACAGGCATTTGCTTTGGCATCATCTGAACTAGACAGCAGTTGAGGCCCTTCAAACTCAAATCCATGGCCACTGAGTCATTTCTGACTCCTGACAATCCTCCATCGGGTTTCTGAGGCGGCCAGTCTTTATGAGAGAGGACCACTCCTTCTATCTTCAGGAGCAGCTGGTGGATTCAAACTGCCGACCTTTCCATGAGCAGCACAACACATGACACACTACGCCGTCAGAGCTCCTTTGGGAAGCTCTTGTTGTTATGCACTATCAAGTCAGAACCGACTAAAAACTAACCCAGCGGTGGGTTTTCATAGGCAGTACATCACACAGGAGGAGATTGCTCATCTTTCTCCCATGGAGCAGCTGGTGGATTCAAACCTCGTGCCTTTGGGTTGGCAGAGCAACTCCTTACCACTAAGCCACCAGAGCTCCCTTTGTGAAGCACTAAGCATCCAGGAATTAAGGGCCCTTGTGAGGCTGGCATCTTGACATTTCAGCTAGTATAAAAATAATGTGGCATTCAGCATGTCCACGAGCCTTTCTTGCAAGAATCAGAAATGCGTCTATTTGGAGGCTGCATATGATGGCAGCTAAGAATGACGCAGGCCTAAACAAAGGGGAACTTGTTCTCTTTGAAAGAATTGGAAGAATCTCTTAGCCCAGCTCACTGGATCATCCAACTGGTGATGCACAGAATCACAGCGGCCACCCTCTGCCCCCGGCCAGAGTTTCTCAGTCACGCAGCTCCTGGCTTGATGGGAAGGAAACTTGGCCTCAAGGTCTCCCGGGCTGCCGCTGTGTCAGCCCCATGAGCAGAGGGAATAACAGAGTGTGTGTGAGCCTGGTCAGAGGCTGAGCTGGTGGAGGAAGGGAGGAGGGGCATCTGCCAAAGGAGGTGGGGGAGTTGGTGCAAGAAAAACAAAACCAAAAAACCCCACTTGTGGTCGAGTTGACTTCACAATGACCTTGTGTGTGTCCGAGTGGAACTCTGCGCTGTACAGTTTGCACTGGCTGACTTTTTTTATTTTTAGCTCTCGTACGTAGTCTGTAGGGAATTGTGCTACTAACCCGAAGGTGATGCCTCTGGCAGTTCGAATCCAACAACAGCTCTATGAGAGAAAGAAGGACACTCTCCTCCCGTGTGATTCACAGCCTTAGAAAGAAACCCTCTGGAGAGTCAGCTATGAGTTGGTTCTGACTTGACAGCAATACAGTTGAGGGGTTTTTTAAAAATTAGTTTGGAGGCCAGGAGTTTCTTCCCAGGCACTTCTGGATTTACTTGAACCCACAACCTTTCTGTTAGCAGCTGAGAAGGTTAACCGTTTGCACATTACAGGGACTCCCTGTGTTAGAAGGGAGCTAAAACGCATCATTTGAGGAATACCAGTGGTTGTTCAAACTCTTGGAGGGAAAGTGTGATGGGAGATGGGATCTTCGTGTTGTCCCAGAATATCTCCCCACAGGGTGTTTTTAACGGCAAAGGAAAAAGGTAGAATGGAGAAATGTGACGGAGCTTAAACAAATGATCGAAAGTAGTGTCACCCGGCATGGGCCAGCCCACCCCCGCACCTCCTGGTATGAGGCTCTGAGAATGACAGGACATCCCTCCTGCTGCAGTCCAAGCTCAGAGGGCATCACCCATGTCTAGTTACGAGGATGAGGACCACACAAATACAGGGGCCAGTCTCCAAAGCAAATGGTCAGTGGTCTCCCTTGATGCCAGGGTCTGAGAGGCTGAGGAACATTTTCAGAATAAAGGAGGCCACCACCATATATGTTAGTGACTTACAAGTGGCTGTGATGAGGGAGGCTGCTGTTGTTTGGTGCCATAGCGCTGACTATGAGTCAGAGGGACCCTGTGAACGGCAAGTCTGAACCTTGCCTTATTCTGCGCCGTCCTCACAATCTCTGAGACGCACGAGCCCATGGTTACAGTCACTTTGTCAACTGATCTTGTTGGGGGTCTTCCTCTTTCTCCGACCCTTCACCGTTCCCAGCATTGTGTCCTAATCTAAGGATTGGCTCCACTTGGCAACATGACCAGAGTTCGTGAGACGCAGTTTCACCATCCTTGCGTCTAAGGAGCGTCCAGTTTGCACTTCCTATGGAGGTTGAGGGGTTCACATGCCAGCAGGGTCCTCCATAGTGGACAGAAAACAGCAGAGTTTCCAGACTAACAGCCCTAGGAAGAAAGGCCCGGGGATCTGCTTCTCTAACTTGACTACTGAGAACCTATGGATCACAGCACAACATTGTCCAATAAAGTGCCAGAAGATGCGGCCCGGGGCTGGAAAGCACTCGGCTGTGACCACAGCAGTGGACGGGAGCACGCAGTGATACTGAGGGTGGCCCAGAGCTGGCACTGCTTTGCTCTGTTGTACATGGGCTTACCCTTTTGGGGCAATTTGGCAGAAGATAACAGAAAAGAGGAGAACAAAATGAAACACATTGGAATTTGACACTGGACAAGAAACACACACACAAAAAAACCCAAGTAGTATAAAAAAGAAAAATCTGTAAAGGATAGTATTGGGACAATTGGAGAAATTTAAAAATGGACCTTAGACAGAAGTGTCATATTGTTGTTATTATGTGCTGATAAGTTGGAGAAACTCATAACTAACCCTCCAGCAGATTTTCAGAGGCTGTAAATCTCACAGGAAAAGCTTGCTCCTATTTCTCCCTTAAAGTAACTGGTGGATTAGAACTGCCTCTCTTTGGGTTGACAGCACAACTCTTTAACCAGTAGGCGACCAGAGCTCCCTAATAGTATCATATCAGTGGTCAGAAAAGTACCATTTGCCTAAAGATAAAGCCCAGTAATCCGGGTTAGGATAAAAGGATTAATGAAAATAAGAATTAAAGGGAGAAAGTAAGAAGAGTATGATTATATAGTGGGTATTTTTTTTTTTCATTCATGTTTTAAAACACATGTTATGATTTGTTGAGTGGGAAATCCATTTGTTTGATTAGCTTTATATACCTTTAGTCAAATAATTTTTAAAAAGCTTAAGTATTAACGGGGAGCTCTGGTGGCATAGACCCTGGGGGTTGAACTGCTAACCAAAGGCTTCCCCTCTCTGGTGGTTTGAATCTATCATGGGAGAAAGACAGATAATCTTCTCCAGTGTGATTTACAGCCTCAGAAACCCAATGGAGGGTCGGCGATGAGTCATTTCAGACTTATTAAGTTACTGTATGAGAGTTACATTTCTCCACTGTGAGAGTCATGCAGTGGTTGTTGTTGTTGTGTTGTTTAATGCCGTCGAGTCGTAGACGACTCATAGCGACACTATGAACGAGAGGCCTGAGCACTGTTCGTACATAGAGTTTCCGGAGGCAAGCCATTTCGGAAGTGGATGCCGCTCCTGCTTCCAGGCTTGATTTAGTCGGGAAGCTCCAACCAACACAGTCCACCATGGGTGCCCATTACCACGATTGGCACATCACTGTCACAGGCTTCAGCATCACAGCAACCACGAGTTACCTCTGTACGGCAACGCACAGACCAGTGCTATACCATGCAGTGGTTAAGCTCTCTAAAACCCCATGCCAAATGACCCCTTTTGAAAAGTGTTTATCACTGACGGATCTTCGTTTCTCCCCCGCCCCCTCGTAGAACAACCCCTCGGGCTTTGCACGTGCCCCCGCGCCCACCCTGCCCCGTGAACATGTTGGTGCTTCTTGCCTTCATCATCATCTTCCACATCACCTCGGCGGCCTTGCTCTTCGTCTCCATCATCGACAATGTAAGTGCCTCTCAAGTCCGTCCCCCCTCCCCTGTCCACGGGGTGGAGAGCTCGCTGAGATCACCACTTGGGATTGTTCGCGTTTCGATCCGGGTGGGAGAACCTGGTGGGCAGGGACCTTTGTCTTCTCCTTTCTGCTTCGCCACGGAGCTGACCTGGTGCCATGGTCTCAGGAAGCTCGTTAAGGATCCTGCTTGAATCCCATCCTCCCCTGGATCTGAGTTTCTTCCCCTCTGCTCTAGTGACTTGTGGGTGTATCCTCGCTTGTCATGGGGCCTGTCCTGAGCACTGTGGGACGTTTCACAGCATCCTCAGCCTTTGCTGGTCATCTACCAGTATTTCTCCACCCTGAGCTCTGACAGTCAAAAATGGCTTCAGACTTTGCCAGATGTCCACTGAGGGGACACAGTCACCCCCGCTGAGGACTGCCATCCCAGATCCCCAAGTGACTCTGTCTTCTCATTAGACAGTATCCCTAGTTACTAACCATGCCCTGACTGTGTCCTCCCCACTAGAACTCATGCCTGGAACCTCCTGAATCTCTCTCCTCCCTCCACCATGAAAAATATAATAACTCTTCCCTTTAGTATCCAGTTCCCAGCCATGCAGAGAAAATGTGTTTGCTGCATAGCCTGTTGGCATGTATTGCCAGCCCTCCTGGCAGCAAGTAAAGCTTTATTTTAAGAGTCCTCAGTGGTCTGCAGGAGCTCTGGTGGCCAGTGCATTTTGTATCTGGCTGGTAACTGAAAAGTTGGCAGTTTGAACCTACCAGCCACTCCATGGGAGAAACGTAAGGCAATCTCCTTTCATAAAGATTTACAGCCTTCGAAGCCCAGAGAGGGACAGTAAGTCACCATAAGTCTGAATGGGCTTGACAGCACTGAGTTTGGTTTGGTTTGGTTTGGTTTGGTTTGGCCTACAAAAGGGAGGTTTTGTGGCCTACTGGGTAAAGAGTTGTGCTGCCAACCCAAAGGTGGGTGGTTCAAACCCACCAGTGGCTGTTTGGGAGAAAGATGGGCAATCTCCTCCCATGTTATTAACAGCCTCTGAAAACCCTCAGAGGGTCATCTTATGAGTCAGTTCTGACTTGCCAGCACATAACAACAATAACAGTATGGGCCATAAGAGACCTTGGATGGCACCAACACTTAAACACTCAACTACTAGCCAGAAAGTTGGTGGTTGGAACTCACCCACTGATACCTTAGATGGCCTTGGGGTCTACTTGCAAAAGCCCTAGAAAGCACAGTTCTACTCTGAAATGTATGGGGTGGCTGCTAATTGGGGTTTTCAGATTTCCATTATTTTGAAACTTATTCCTTGGGATCCAGATGGTCCCAGATGTAGAAAAAGAGGCCAGTGGCCATTTAGGGGATTGGCAGAAAAGCTGTGTTGTAATGCTACCTACCCGCAGTGTTTACGTTATTACTATATTGATCACGGAGGTGCCCATGGAGCGCCCATAGGTGCTCTGTTGTTACTGTCTTGATCAAGGGGACCCAGAATGGAAACTTGCGGTCAGTGAGAGGAGGGTGCCCTCTGTGGGTGGGGTTGGGCACGTCGGAGGACCTGACCAAGGGTGGCCACGGCTGGTAGGACACGCTGAGCACCCGGTGGCTTAGTTGTATCCATCAGAGGGAAACAGGAGCATCTGAGCTGAAGGTAGGGATCTTATTGGATAAATCGAGTCCATAGGAATCTTGTGGGATAGAGTGACCCACTCACTCCACTAGATTTCATCTCATCCTCACTCCTTAATTCTGTGGTGCACACAGTCCTTTGTGGACTGTACACCACCAGCTAGTCTAATAGAGTTCCCAGGGGTGCAGGTAACTGAAAGGCTGGAGGTTTGAGGCCATGGAGAGGTACCTCCAAAGAAAGGCCTGGGAATCTGCTTCCACAAGAGCATCCATTGAAAACTCCGTGGGACACAGTCCTAATCTGACACAAATAGGTCCCCGGAGGCAGAATCTTCTAGCAGACTGGATTATAGGATATCTTGCAAGTTTAGCTCCAGACCACACAATAAAACAAGTATTTCTGTAAGCGAACCACCCGAATATTCTGGTTCCCTAGTACATGTCAAAGTGACATTTGCTCTGTAATGGAGTCTATGAAGGGAGCCCTGGTGGCACGGATAGGGAGTTGCCCTGCCAACACAAAGGCAGGTGGTTCAAATCCACCAGCGGCTTTGCAGGAGAAATATGGACAGTCTCTTCCATGAAGTTTATAGTTTCTGAAAATGCACTGGGGCGAGCTCTGGTGGCCTAGTGGCAAGAAGCTGCATTGCAATCCCAGAGGGCACAGTTCGAATCCACCAGATGCTCTGCTGGAGAGGGAGGGACAGTCTCCTCCTGTACCTGTCAGATCTGATTTGACGGTGTACACACACACAAATAATAATAAAATATTTTTTAAAAAAAGAGAAAGAAAATGCACTGGAGAGTCAGCTATGAGAGAGAGTCGTCTATGGAGTGTGCAATGATGTAAAAGTTTGGAATGTTGTGAGACTGGCTAAGATGTAACAGAGACAGGAAATGGGCACATGCTGTTGGGAAAATGGCACTGACAGGCCTGCCCAGTGCAGGTTAGAAAGATCCTCAACTTGTAGAATTTGTAGAGCGCAAGAAATCAAAACACAGCAGAATGAGGTACGCCTGTGCTCTGTCGGCTGCTCTGCGAGCCTCCACTGAGCCTTCCCTCCCCTCCCTCCGAGGCACTGAGAGGGCAGAGATTGCCTCATCCTCCGCAACCCCACCCCCAACTTGTCAGAAATGCACCGTCTCAACCATCCCCTCCCAGATCAAGACCTGCATTCTAACGGGCTCCCCAGGGCTCCCCAGTGTGAAAAGCGGGGATTCCAGGTACAACAGCTAATTAGGAGTCAGTACTTGCGTCGCTCATGACCAACCTTTCACTGAGTTTCCATTCTCTGTGTGCCAGGCCTGGTGGGTCGGAGAAGAGTTCTTTGCAGATGTCTGGAGAGTCTGTCTCAACAACACCAACTGCACAGAGATCAACGAGGAATATAACGGTGAGTGTGGATGCACAGACCCCTGATCGGCAGGAACAACTGAGAGAGAAGAGAGGCTTGGGTTCTCTCTGGGACGCCTCCTTCTCTCCACACAGCTAGGTGGGCACCGCTGACTGTCGCACACATACCCTCCCCTTGGGCAAACTCGGCAGTGTTTTCTTTTAACACATCCGTGTCATCTCCCTGTTGTTATTAGTTGCCATTGAATCCATTTCAACTCATGACAGCAGGCCTGTGTGACAGAGCAGGACTACCCTGTAGTGTTCACTGTGCCCTGTAGTGTTTTCGTGGTTGTCATCTGTATGGGGGAGTCCTGGAGGTACAGTGCATAGCTCATGGTCCTAACAAAAAAGTCTCAAGCCTCGGTGATTCAAACCCAGCAGCTTCTGACAGGCAGTCTCCGCTCAGTGACATTTACAGCCTCAGAATCCTGAGAGAGGGTCTTTGTGGGTCAGAATCAACTCAATGGCAGGAATTTGACCTCTAGTTTAATCTTTATGGGAATAGATCACAAACTTTTCCTCTTGCACAGCCTCTGGGTGGTTTAGAACTGGTAATCAGGGCTTCTTTTCCCTCTACATTCTTATTGTTGTTGTTATTGTTATTGTGTACCATCGAGTTGGAACCGACCCACAGCTGCCCCTCCGGCAGGTTTTCAGAGGCAGTTAATCACACGAGAGGAGACTGCCCATCCTTCTCACACAGAGCAGCTGGTGGCCTTGAACCGCCTGCCTTTGTGATTGCAGTGCAGCTTCTTGCCACTAGGCCACCAGAGCTCCCTATTAACCTTAGCAGGACAAATTCTAAAAACAGCCACCAAGTTTTAGCCTTGGTGAAAAGACACTCGGGCTAACATGATAGAATTGTGCTATAACAACCTGTTCACTAACAGTTCAGCCACATAAATGGTGACTGTACACGTGAACCTCTTCACATGGAACATATATGAATCAAATACCCTGTCACCTAGGGTATCAGTTGAAAACACGGATTCTTGTGGCCCACACCGAAATCCCTTTGTCAGACGGTTCAGGGAGAGGCAGGCCCAGGAATCTATTTTTAACCAACACCCAGTTGATGCCTGGGATCTGGCAAATTTGAGAAGCTCTGCTCTCAGCCTGGGATCAACACTGGAATTCTTGGGGAGATTTGAAAGCCACTCTTGCCCGATCAGAGATTCTGGTTCATTTCATCTACAGGGCTGTTTATTTTTTCTGAATGGCGCTTTTTTACACACTTATAATTTTATACCTTTTTTATACACTTATAATCTACCTCCTTCCCACCACTCCCCACTCCCAGGTCCTTCCCCACCCAGCCCCTGCCACACCCTGTCCCGAGGGTACCCACTTTCTGACATCTGTCACCGGAGTTTAGTTCACCTGTTCTTAGATGTCCAATAGCAGGTTTTCTAGAACTGGAGTCCTGGCTGTGTTTGTGGGAGAGGGAGGAGTCTGGACTCTTTTTTTTTAGGGAGTCAGGTTTAGAATGCTCTGGTGGGCTAATGGGTAAGGGGTTATGCTGTGAACCCAAAGGCAGGTGGTTCGAATCCACCATCTGCTTTGTGAGAAAAGGATGAGTAGTCTCCTCCCGTGTGACTTCCAGCTTCTAAAAACCCACAGGAGGTTCAGGTATGAGTCTGTTCCAACTAAATGGCATAAAACAACCAGATGACTCAAATGTGCAGCCAGAATGCTGTAGACATTTCTGGAAATCCTTACAGATGACGTTTTCCTGCTGGCTACTGTCGTTTAGAGTTGAGTCAGAACGGATTCATAGCTGACCCTCTAGCAGATGGTCAGAAACTGGAAACTGCACGGCAGGAAACTGCACATCTTTCTCCCTTGAAGCAGCTGGTGGGTTCAAACTGCCGGCCTTTGGGTTGGAAGCACAACTCCTCACCACTAAGCCACCAGAGCACCCTTCCCTGCCAGCAGTTTCAGACAAAACTGTAAACAAAACCACCACTAGGAAAGTTTACTTACGGGATAACATCCTGCACTTTATACAGAACCCCTACCTTCAGCATCCCCCCAAAACCCTGCCAGAGCTGAGTTCACTTAACTTCCCCAACCATGGACCGTGAGCATCCATGTTTTACTGGCAGGGAAACTGCATCCCAGCAGGCGGCTCCCCGCCCACGCTCAGCCCCTTCTCTACCTGGCCGCTGGGAGCTTCAGCTGTCGTCGCACTGCGTGTAGCACCCTCCACCCTCCACCGTCCACTGAAATTCCCCACATCCTCATCCTAAACTCCCTGTTAAGGCTAGCCATTCACTTTCCCCTTTTCCTAAGGGGTGATTATAAAGAAAACTCTCTCAGAAATAACTTGTCCACAAAGGCCTTTCCCATGCATGACCTTGCAGCCCTAGGAAAACTACAGAAAAAACAAACCAAAAAACCCCCAAACCTATTGACATTCAATCAATTCCAACCCATAGTGGGCTTATAGCACAGAGTAGAACTGACCCACAGGATTTCCAAGCTGACATCTTTACAGAAGCAGATAGCTGTATCTTTCTCCAGTAGAACAGCTGGTGGGTTTGAACTGCCAAGCTTCTGGTAGTTCTTCATCCACTGTGCCAGCTGGGCTCCTCTGAAGAATGCAGAGCGAGTGGTATTTGTTCCATTTTCCAGATAAGGGAGTGAGGACCTCCCTGATCAAATGCACCAGTGGGCACTTCAGGGCTGTGAGCCCAGCCGCCCCTTGGCTGGCCTTGTGTCTATAACCCTGTGAATGACCCCGGGAGCCCTTGAATTTTCACCTGTAGTCACGCTTGCTCCGAAGTGGTGGTGGAGATGGCCATGCTTGAGGCACCGGGCCCAGGTCCTCACTTGTGTTTCTGTCGCTCCTGCAGAATTCACCACGCTGCAGGCCATCCAGGCCACCATGATCCTCTCCACCATCCTCTGCTGCATCGCCTTCCTGATTTTCCTGCTCCAGCTCTTCCGCCTCAAGCAAGGAGACCGATTTGTCTTAACCTCCATCATCCAGCTCTTGTCCTGTGAGTAATATGAAGGGCTTCCCTGAGAACGGCTGCCTGCCCAGCCACCCCTCGGAGGAGCCAGGAGGAGGAGGAAGGGGAGGACTTGTGAGGGAGAAGTTGGCTGCCATGCAGTGGGGTTGGGGCGGGCGGGGTCAAGGGTACAAACCTTGAGCTGAGGTCTAGAGGGTGAGTAGGAGGTTGTGCCCTGAATGTTCAGTTGGCATTGTTATTGTTGTTAGGTGCCATTGAGTTGACTACAACTCATAGCAATCTTCTGAATATAGAAAAGCTAGGAATCCAGCCCTATCCTGTACCATCCTCACAGTCTCCGCCACACTCAAGGTCATTGCTGCAGACACTGTGTCAATCAGCCCATCTTGTTGAGGGTCTTCCTCTCTTTTGCTGGCCTTCTACTCTTCCCAGCATCATGTCCTCTTCCAAGGATCGGCCCCTCTTGACAACATGCTCAGAGTAAGTGAGATGAAATTTCACCATCTTCGCCTCTGAGGAGCAGCCTGGTTATATTATACTTCTTCCAAAACACATTTGGGTTAGTGGAGGGACGAGGCTGCCAGGTCAAGGGAAAAGCATGCCTGAAGCCCTCCCACTCACAACAGAATGAGATGGTGCTCACCAGGACTGCTGATAGCTGGGGGAGGCTGAGAGCTGGCCCATGGGGCTCGAGTGTGAGTGAGCCTGGGGAGATGGAGGAAGTTAGGGACCTGGAGAGAGCTGAGCAAGAGGCGTAGGAGGGCCCAGACCTGGGAAGGCCTTGGAGACCAGACACTGTGTAGGGCTCTTTGTCCTAAACTAATAAGAAGCCAGTGGTGGGATTAGGTGAGTGGTGATAAAAGTGTCTACAGTGGGCCAGGTCTGGCAGAAGCTGCAGGTGGTGAACAAGAAAACGGAAGGAATCAATCCCTGGAGAAATTGGAGCAAAAAAGATGTTATTGCTGTCCACTTTCTCCTCACAATGGTAGCCAAGCTGAGACTAAGCTTAGTTTTGATCTAGAAGCTCTGCTGAGAACCACCAGGGCTGACGCGGCGAGTAATCTGGTGAGGGAGCCAGTGCCACACACAATCTGTGTTGCTGTTCTTGGCGAAAGCTTTCTGAGGACACAAAATGACAAGCCTTTTCTTGGTACATTCTGATTGAGAGTTTGTAGGTATCTGGATGGGGACAAGATATCCGGGCCTGGGAGCCGGTCCGTGGCCTCGTTTAATCCCCTCTTCCTCCCACCGTCCACGCCCAGCTCTCTTCTGTCCAGCTGGAGTCAAGTCCAGACCTGCCCTTGCGCACGGCACAGCTGGATCCCAGCCACCAGCACATGACCCGCTCATCCCAGGGTGCCCGGGACTGTCCCAGTTTTACAACAGAGCACCCTGGATCCCCACGGGGCATTTAAGCTGCGAGGCCAGGGCGCCACCCAGATAGGGCGTAGGCTCGGCTATTGGGTCAGGGCTTTCATTTGCCTGGCAGAGAATGAAAGTGTTCTGAGTGTGAAAGCCTCTGGAAGGTCACTCAGCCCTATGATTTCCCAAGTTCCTCTGGGGGCGGACCTCTAGGGTCAGTGTTGTTGCTTGTTGTTAAGTGGCTCCTCTGCATAGTGGCCCCGTGCACAGCAGAAGGAAGGGTTACCTACCCTCTTCCTGAGTCACTGATATATATGAGCCCACTGTTACAGCCACTGTGTATTTTGAGCGGCTCCTCTGCATAGTGGCCCCGTGCACAGCAGAAGGAAGGGTTACCTACCCTCTTCCTGAGTCACTGATATATATGAGCCCACTGTTACAGCCACTGTGTATTTTGAGCTCTGGTTGCCAAGTGGATAAGGAGTTGTGCTGCTAAACCAGAGCCATTTGGTTCAAATCCAGCATCTGCTCCATGAAGGAAAGATGAGCAGTCTCCTATGTGATTTACAGCCTCTGAAAGCCTGTTGGAAGGTCAGCTATGAGTCGATTCCAACATAGCAAAGACCACTCCAATCTAGGGTGTTCATCTAGCACTATAGCAGGTGATCCATTAGATTGTCGTTGGCCAATTTTGGGAAGTAGATCACCAGGCCTTGCTTCCTAGTCTTAATCTAGAAGCTCTGCTGAATTCTATCCACCGTGAGTAGCCCTGCTGGTATTTTCAAATACCAGGGGCACAGCAACCAGCATCATAGTGACAGGCAAGCTACCCCTATATGACAAACTGATGGGCAGATGGTGTTACTATAGATACACAAGACCCCATCCCAGACCTCTTGAATGAAAATCTGTCCAGTTGGAATACGGGGATTTAACTTTAGGAAAATCTGCTGTGGGAGACACCATGTTCACAAAGGTGGTTTTGCCAGGACGGGGCTTATCCATTGCATTCCGGATGTGCTGACTCCTTTGGCTTACCCAAAAGTGTGCATAAATTGTGATCGTGGAGGACTGTGTTCACACTAAAAAAGAAAAATCTGTGCTTGGGCCAACACAGGGACCGTGGTCAAATGAAACTGAAAGAGCTGGATGGCAGGAGGCTCCCTTCGCTACTCTTCTTGTACTTTCACTGTCTCTCAAGGTTAGTGGCCAGAAGGAAAAGGACATACACGTGGCAAAGCAGATGGTCAGTGAAGAAGAGGAAGACTCAACAAGATGGATTGGTGCAGTGGCTGAAATAATGGGGCCCCACACAGCTATAGTTATACCAATGGTGCATGGCAGGACCAGATTCCATTCTACTGTATATAGAGTTGCTATGAGTCAAACACAACCTTGTTGATGAAAGTGGGAAAGACTTAAAACACTTGCCATAGAAGGTCAAAGATATAGCCTTCAACGTGGATTACATCTCAACATCGAGAAAACAAAAATCCTCACCACTGGATCGATAGACAATATCATGACAGATGGAGAAAAGACTGAAGTTGTTATCAATTTCATCTTACTTCAACCTATAATAAATACCCCTGGAACCCGCAGTCAAGAAATCAAAAGACATGTTGCACTGGGAAAAAAAAACCCTGCTATCAAAGAACCTCTCCAACGTGCTTAAGAGCAATGATGTCATTTGAAAGACTGTAGTGCGCCTGAGCCAAGCCATGGTCTTTTCGGTTACTTGGTATGCATCTGAAAATTGGACAATGAATAGGATGACAGAAGAAGAATGAATGCCTTTGTATTGTGGTGGTGGAGAAGAGTCCTGAATATCCCATGGACTGCCAAAAAAACAGACAAGTATGTCTTAGAGAAAGTGCAACCTGGGTGCTCCTTAGAGGCAATGAGGGCGAAACTTCATGTCACATACTTTACGTATGTTGTCAGGAGGCCCAGTCCTTGGAAAAAAAGACATCATGCTTGAAAAGGTGGAGAGCAGGGAGCTCTGGTGGCCTAGTGGCAAGACGCTGCATTGCAATCCCAGAGGTATGTGGTTCAAATCCACCAGATGCTCTGCTGGAGAAGGAGGGGGGGCAATCTCCTTCTGTACCAGTCAGATCTGATTTGACGGTACACGTAAAAATAATACAATAAAATAAAATTTAAAAAAAAAGAAAAGGTGGAGAGCTGGTGAAGGAGAGGAAGAAGACCCTCACCAGGATGGACTGACATGGTGACCGTAACAAAGGGCTCAAATATATCAGAGATGAGGATGGCACAGGATGGGGCAGGGTCCAAGTCCTTTGTTCCTAGGATCACTATGAGTCGTAGTCAACTTAATGGCACTTAACAACAACAACAACAACAACACAAGTCAGAACTGACTTGATGGCACCCAATGCTAATATGGGAGCTCTGGTGGCTGAGTGGTAAAAAGCTATGCTGCAGTCCCAAAGGCATGCAGTTTGAATCCACCAGCTTCCCTGTGGGAGAAGGATGGGGAATCTCCTGTACAGTTTACCGCCCTCTGAAGGGTCAGCTATGGGTCAGTTTCAACTCAATGCACACAACTACAGCTACTACAATGACAATACACACACACACACACACACACACACACACATACATCTCCCATGTCCTTCCATAATACTTTATTTATTCTTCCCATTTTTTTTTCTGAGGGGGTCCAGGGACTTCTTCTCCCATCTGTCTCCAGCCCTCACAGTGTTGAGAGGCTCTATCACTCTAGGGTTTTTAGGTGGGAACACCAGGGAGCACTCTTGTTTACATAAGAGGCAGGATTCTGGAGTAACTCAAGACAAGAATTGGGGAGTGGGGGCACTGAAATGTGAGGTCCTAGAAAGAGGATCCAGGCAACAGGAATTTCAAGGGAGATGATGCTGGAATCTCTGGCAGTGCCATTTTTCCTTTAGATTCATATTTCCAGGAAATTCGATCTGATTGGCAAAGACTGTGTCACGTGCCCACATTGGGGCTAGAGATGGTCTGGGAACTTTGAGGCAGTGCCACCAAAATAGGCTGGTCACAGAGAGAGGTAGGCTCCCCAGGAAAAGTCATGGTAGTAATTCTATCCTGGATGTGTGAATTTCAAGACTGCGGCTACAAGAAACCGAAAGACCAATTGGTCACTTTAGTCATAAATAGCTGCTGCTGCTTCTTTTTCTTTTTCTACATTAACAGAATATAGGCATAAGTGGCCAAAGTTGGCTTACTTGGACAAGAGCATCAAGACTCTTTCCTTTTAAAAAAAATTACTCTTTCCTTCCCCCCCCTTATTATTTTCTAAGTGTTGGTGATGCCTCGTGGCCCCAAAAAGGCTGCTATGGCCCCATTAATTCTGCCCTGATGTGACAATATTTATAGACCCAAGCAAGGGAAAGTGCATAGACAACAAAATGCCTTCTCTTCCCTTAATTATTCTCTTTTCAGGGAGTGAAACTTCTCATGGAAGGATGTTATATAACTAAAACTTTGGCCCATTCAGATCCTTAAATTGTAAAAAGGCAGAATAAGACTGCTAAGGTTTTCTTAAATCAGAAATTAGCAAGCTATGGTCAATCAGTTAAATCCAACTTGCTACTAGTCTTTGTAAATAATGTTTTGTTGGAATAAGGTGTGGACATTCATGTTCATATTGTGCATGGCTGTCTTCATGCTACAATAGCACGATTCCGTAGTTGTGCAAAGCCCTATAATTTTACTTTCGGGTCAACTCTTGGCTCAGATCAGCTATGGCTTATTGTCTGGGTTATGTATATGGTTGCCCCAAAAGCTTGGGTTCAGTTAGCAAGGATGAGGAGAGAAACAGCTACAAGATAGACCACCACATTTTGACACAAAATATTAGTTGTTATTCTTATAGAATAATATACCAATATCATTTGCCATGGAACTGACCCCAGCCCGTTGCATCAAGGTAGAATTGTGTCCTATTGGCTCATCAGTGGCTGATTTATCAGGAGGGTGCTAGGACTTTCTTTTGAGGCATCTAGGTGGACTTCATAGGGTCACTATGAGTCACCTACGACTCGACGGCACTTAACAACATAGAGAGAGACCAGTTGGCCTAGTGGACCAAAAGTGATGCTACCAAGCCAAAGATGGGTGATTAGTCTGAGGCCGTCAGGTCAGTTTGTAATTCTTTTTGGTTAAACATTCTTCTAGGTCATATAGCCCTGGTGTGTCCACTTACCATACAGAGGTAACTTGTGGTTGCTGTGAAGCTCAACACTGCGACACTGATGAGTCCAATGTGTTAATGGTTACGCATGGTGGACAGTGTTGAACGGAGCTCCCCAATTAAAACAAGCTTGGAAGCAGGAGTGGCATCCACTTTCATAAATAGCTTGCCTCCAGAAACTCTATGAACCTGGAGAGAGGATGAAAGTCATGTAAGTTTTGAGGACTTTCATTCATAGGGTCGCTATGAGTCGCCTACGACTCAACGGCACTTAACAACAACAACAACAGGTGGACTTGAACCACCAGCCTTTCCTTTAGCAGCCCAGTGAATTAACCCTGGAGCTCCTTTTGTTGTTTTTGGGCGTTCTCAAGTCAGCTCCAACTCATAGAAACCCGTGAACAAAGCTTTGCCTGATTCTGCAGCATCCATATCATCTCTTTTGTGCTGTTGAGCCCATTACTATAACCACTGTGTCAATCCAGCTCGTTGAGGGGCTCCTTTGCTGGTACTTTTCCAAGTAGGATGGATTTTTCGAAGGACAGGCCTCTCCTGGTAACATGCCTAAGTAAGTATATGAGGCCCTGCCATGCCATCCTTGCTTCTAAGGAGCGCTAGCTTCACTTTTAAAGGCGTCTTCCACTCGATTGCATGCCCTTTGGGTGTCCCTGGTGCATCCCGGCCCCCTTATTTGGCCTCTGTGACATAGTTCTCCCTCTGCTTTCTTCCTGGCAGGTGTCTGCGTCATGATCGCGGCTTCCATTTACACAGACCGGCGCAAGGACCTCCACTCGAAGAACCAGCACTTTTACCCCGTGGAGATGGTGCAGGAGGGCAGCTACGGCTACTCATTCATCCTGGCCTGGGTGGCCTTCGCCTTCACCTTCATCAGCGGCCTCATGTATCTAATACTGAGGAAGCGCAAATAAAACCCCAGAGCTGGGGCGTTTCTCCTGCAGTACAGATCCCTATTCAAATAACCATTTTGTATATATTCTTTTTTTTTTTTGTGGTTTTTCTAGCAAACATATTTGTTTCCTTTTAAAAGCCAAGAAACGAGTTGTTGTTTTTGGTTTGGGTCTCATTGGGCTTTTTTGAGGTGGGGTTTTTGTTTTTGGACCTTTTTTTTTTTTGCATTCTTGAGTTCAGTTCATAGACAATGACAGCTGGTATTCAGAGCTGCCCATCTCAGAGTCTCAATGAGACAAAGTCAAAGCTCCTGTCTGCTCACCAAGACGATTCTTAAGCTTGGGGATGTGATGTGACAGGACCATGAAGGCCAGGTGGGCCTCCTTCCTTCCCTTTTGATGCTTTTCTCGTAAAGTTCCTGTGTTACAGTGAGGAGGGAGTCAGGCCAAAGATGTAGATGCCCTTAGATATCAAGTCCAAGTTCACGTGAGACATTACTGATATTCTCTCTTGGACCCAGGGCCCCTGACCCTCCTCTAGTGGGCTGGGAATTGATCAAATAAAAGGCCTCCACATCTGCTTGCCTTTGGGAAGTTGACTTCTAACCAGACTGTCAGTTCTAGGCTGATCTTAAGGCAGGGAATCTCAAAATGTGATCTCCTGGGCACCTTCTCAAATGCCCTTCGCTAGACCTAAACCTTCTCAAATCAGACCCTTCCCTAGACCTACAACGTAGTCAGGCTTCAGAACTGGGGCCCGGGAACCTACATTTATGGGGTGCTCCTTCAGTGATGCTTAGGCACAATAAAGGTGTGAACCACAGCCCCAGAGCCAGGTGGGCAGTTGGTCTAGAACCCACTGCAGACCAAAACTTTCACCGTCGCTTCCAGCTATCTCAATCAGGGCCACTTAACTGCAGTTCCTTTCCCTGCATCTGTGTAGCTAGACCCCCTGCATGGCGCCACCACCTCTGCATTCTCTTTCTTTTCTGTGTCCTATGGCTGAGTGGCCTCTGAGGACTCCTTTTTCTAGAGCTTCATATAACCCACCCTTCTCCATCCATCCATCCATCCATCCATCCATCCATCATCTATCCATGCATCCTTCCACCTTCCCACCCACCCACAGAAATCATCAAATGTTGACTGTGAGCCAGGCCCAGGGGGGCCTAGGGGGTAGAAGTTGTTGATGTTGTTATGTGCCACCAGGTCAGAGCTGAGTCAGAGCTGACCCTCCAGCAGCTTTTCAGAGATTGCCCGTCTTCCTCCTGTGGCGTTGATGGATTTGAACCCTGTGCCTTTGGGTCGGCAAAACAACTCTTCACAACTAGAGACAAATCAAAACCCAATTAAGAAATCTCTTACAGACCATGATGAAGGCTGCAAAAATTCCAACCGTGGATTGAAAATAGAGACCCATCATGGGCAGGAAGTAACTTGCTTTGAGTGCCAATCTTTACATTCTCTTAAATACAACCCACCACTTGGGCAGCACCTGTCCGGGTTCCACTCAACACAGACACATGTAGGGGGTTGGGGTTCTGGCAGAGGATGAAGTGAAAAGGGTCCCCTAGGGCAGGTTCTCAAGCTTCACTGGGATTCCACAGGGTCTGGGGGAAGCCTAAAAGAGTCCTGGTGCTGTAGCATATTATGTATTGGACTATGAACCAAATGGTTAATAGTTTGAATCCATCAGCTAATCCAGGAAAAAATCGGACAATCTCTTCCTATTAAACATGTGGAAAACTCAGTGGAGGGTTTCATGCTGACATCAATTTGATGGCAGTGGAGGGGCTTTTTTGAGGGGTGGGCGTTGTATTTTATTTTAGTGAGGTTGAGTGAAGCTTGAGAAAATTGCTAAGGACTGGCCCAGATGATATCAAGACTACACTGAGAAATAGAGTGTTTATCTTTATGGATAAAGATACTATCACAGAGCAGATGACCATATGGAAACAGGCCTTTGCCCCTCCAGGCCTTTTTCCTCTTGTGCTTGGATCATGTTGCTGGGAACTGATTGTGGCTTCTCTGTCGCACCTCAGCACTGGTGCTACTTCAGTGTGTTCCACTTGTCCTTCTGTCAGGTGGGGTGATGATGAGTCCTCACCCCAGTTCCAGTGGAACCGGGAAGGTGTTGAATGTGAGTAGTTTGGGGGACTCCCATGGATGCCTTTTTAGTGTAGGATTAGGGTTTTCTCCATCTGTTTGCTTACTCGCTCACTCATTTCTTTCTCAGCAGAAAGTTCCAAGCACTATGGAAGGCTCTGGAAACATAGGGGTGAGCACATTCAGTTGTTCGCCATGCCCGAGTGGAGTTGGCAGCCTCCAGGATAGGACAGTCGCTAGTATCTTGACAGAGAGAGGACAAATTGTTACCTCCTATCTTCATGGAAAACTGTCACTAGGTCGTCTGTAGGCAGGAGCATGGTGACAATCCTGAAGTTTGCAAGATAAACTGCATGAACCTCATGGAGGACTTGGGTCCTAAAGTGACCGCAAGCTTTCTACTCGGGTGACTTTTCTAGAATTTTCTGGTAGCCACAATGGATAAAAAGAAACCAGCAAGCAATACCTTGGAGAGGCTAATCCACCAGCAACCCATGAATTCTCTTCACAGAAAACATCCAGGGCTTTTTAATCTTTATGTTGACTATTTTCTAAAATGCAGCTGGTTTCACTGCTACACAGCAGTCAGTGCTTCCACCTACCTGGGGTGTTGAGGTTTCCTGGGACGTGAGAGAGGTGCCTCCTCCACTAGGTATGTGCATTTGGAAAGTGGAGAAACAGGTGATGACTAACCTTCACCTGTGATTCCCTTGATGATTACTAGTTACCAAGTTATGCAAATTAAAAAAGGAAAAAAAAGGCTAAGACATCCAAGAAGCAGACACTAGGACCAAATATATATATACCTGACTTTAGCAACAACCATAGTTGAAGGAACTATGGTTTGTGTGTTTTACAATGTTTTTATAAAGTACTGTAAATCTTTCACTGATGAGCTCTATGATAGAGACACACTAACTCATTTTGTTATTTGCATTAAAGTTACTTTGGGTCTCAGTTCTAATGAGTTTGGAGAGTGGTGGCTCATTGCTTCTTATGAATGGACATATCTATCCCAGACTAAGGAGAAGTTGGGGACAGATTCCATCCACTATACCACCCTGTTCCGGGTTGCTCACCTGTGCACCCAGCCCCCAGTGAACACACTCATGCTAGGATGTTGATGTTGTTATTAGGTGCTGTTGAGTCATGTGACTCACGGTGATCCTATGAACAACAGATGGGAACCTGTCCTGTCTTATACTGTGCCATTCTTACTATCTCCAACATACTCAGTGTTTGACAATGAAGAAACCGGCAACCCCAAGCCTGCACGTAAACACACTAAACATGGCAGCCTCAGTGGATGCTCTGCTAGTTTCAAACCTTCCTGGGTGGGGAAACAACCCAGCTAATAGTTGAAAGGCGACCGAGAGTCTCCTACAACTGTGTTTACTGGGAGACCGTGGTGACGGGGGAGGGGCTAGGGGCAGAGCTAGAGGCTCTATTTGAATCTTGGTTTGGGGACAAATGTGATCTTTGGGGAGTTAGATTCTTTCTACTTAACGTGCCTTTAAAATAGTCCATTTTTTCTATGTTTTGTATAATCTGAAAGTGTACAATGAAAAATAAAGTTTCAAACCAAATTGCCTGGAGCAACAGACTCTACTGTTCCCAACTGTTATTATGACATTTAGGGCAAAGTGCTTGTCAGGGGGGACCCCCTCCATTTCCCTAAACCATTTAGGGGGTCAAGGGGTCACTGACTATCCAATCAAGAGATCAATGGCTAGTTCTTACAGTGAGAACTTGATGGCCAGCAAGCCTTCCCAGGGCATCTCCTTTGGTTTCTGGATCAAGGACAGCTTCACGGGCTCCGTAAAGGACTTCCATGCTCAGATGAGCAATGTGCTGCCGCCATCTTTAATTCTTGAAGCTGTTTGGACAAGCAGTCCTGCGTCTGCCTTTGTTTGTCTTTAATAAAGGTTTCTGCTTTGAAGAGTGGGTGACGAGGGAAGTCAGGCTATTTCTATAGTCAACCAATAAGAGCATTTTGAAAAAGTCAACCAACGAAGAGAGAATTTTGAGTTTTGTCCAAGGTATGCCAAAAATAGTTAAGTATTTCTGTGCCTTGATTTCAGGATTACGAACTAAGGCCTCCTGGGGCGATGCTCTCTATAGTTGTGATTTTAGAAGGGTTGTTTGGGGTATTTTTAGTCTACTTTGCATATAAGTGTTGGTCATCTTACAACACTCAGTCTTTCTCTCAGTTGGGAAATCAGCCTAAAATTCATTCATTCTCTTAGTCTTTCAACCATGTGAATCCATGCTGGCACAAACAGTGGTGCTAGGTCTCGGGCAGTGATAAAGTTAGTCTCTGAGCTAGGCTGAGCTAAATTTAGCTGTGAGCTGGGCTGTGTTACTCCCTAGGTCAAGTTTCCATGAGTTAGGTCCTGATGGGTCTTACCTGGGTCACGTGTTTGTTCCTTATTTCCAATAATGCCCAGAGGAGGGCTTAGGGTCTGCCATAAATGGAGATCCCAGGACTATCATCCTATGAGAAGTTCCTACAGAAAAGGGAATGGGAAGAGACTAGAAATGGAGATCTTGGGAAGCATGCTCTACACCCACTAGCACTCAGAAGGAAGTTGTTGTGTGCCGTAGAGCTGGAACCGTTTTACAGCTGACCCTCCAATGGGTTTTCAGAGGCAGCAAATTGCATGGGAAGAGACTGCCCATATTTCTCCTGTGGAGCATCAGGATTTGAACAGTGTTCCTTTGGCTTGGAAGTGCAATTCCTTACCAGTGGGCCACGAGAGTAAATAAACTCAAACACACTGCAGGTGATTGATTCTGACTCATAACAACCCTCCGTTGGGTCTCCAAGGCTGGAAATCTTAACAGGAGGGGAATATCCATCTTTCTCCCAACAAGGGAGGGAATTCCCCAACAAAGGAAGGAAATTCACTGGAAGA